GGGGGGGGGGGGGGGGGGTGCAATAGTCCCGAGTGCTGTTATTTATTGCTCGAACGTCCTCTTGGTGGCTCTCGGAGGAACCGGCACCCAACCTTGTGTTGCCTCTATTTTATTCTCAGTACGAATGACGGCATTCCTCCTCAACTGTGTCTCTCGAGCGTCAGCTCGCCGACTATGTGGCTTGATGCTAAGGGTTTTTATCGCGCTCGTCCCAAGCCGGAACTACCCATGCTGGATCGAGGTTGCAGACGTTTCTATGTGGAGATTTCCTGCTGTTTGTACTTGATTCCCTCTTTGGAGCTGAACCCCACGCCGTACTATGTTTCTGCGCGTGCTGTTGCTAGTGACCCTGCCCCTGTCCCTGCTGCTGCGGCTCTTGTTGTTCTTGCTGCTGCCTGCTGATGCTGATGCTGCTGGTACTGCTCCCGAAATGTTGTCCTTGTTGTTGCACGCAGCGAAATTGCCAGCCGCGTGTGTCTGTTTTGGGAAGTCTGGCATACGCCTCACAGGAACCTTGGATTCAGTCGAGCACTATTCGGGAGAACATCTTGTTCGGGAGCGCCATGAATCGAAAAAGGTACGCAAGGTGCACAGCGCATGCACTTGGAGGGTAAACGGCCGTAACAGGGGGTTGGGCATTCGGTGGGCGCCGGCTGTCATCCCTACATCAACGTATGGCGTTGAATGCTACCTGTCTTTCTGTCTGTCTGTCTGTCTGTCTGTCTGTCTGTCTGTCTGTCTGTCTGTCTTACTCTTTCTCTCTTGCCTCTCTTTTTGTCTGTCTGTCCCATATGTCCGTCGGTCTTATCTCGCGGTGTGTCTGTCGGTCTCATCTGTCTGCCTGTCTTGTCTCGTTCTCACTCGCGATGGGCAGGTACGACGCGGTGATACGGGACTGTGCCTTGGAAAGGGACCTCTCCTTCCTACCATCGGGCGACCAGACCGGTATCGGAGACAAGGGCGTCAACCTGTCCGGGGGTCAGAAGGCGAGAGTGGGGCTGGCCCGCATGGCCTACGCGCATGTGAGTTGCGCAGCTCCTCTAGGATGGGATTGGGGGCTACGCGGTGGGTGGTAGAATGAAGTTGGACATCGTGTACTACTCGATTCACCGGTCGCCTCAGTGGTCTAGTGGTGTCCTCGAAAGGCGCTAGTCGCTAAAATCGTGTGTTCGAATCCCCATGGAGTGGAAAATGTACAATATTTGTTCGTGGAAGCGAGATATAGCTCAAAAGCTCTAAGTGATTACCAAACTTCGACGTAAGCACCGTTGACGAGGGAAAGGGGCGGCTGGACCCTTTTCCCGACAAAAATAATACATAAAACCAGCACGCACGGCACGAGTAAGGTGGGGCACGACAGAAAAACGAGAACGAAGAAAAAAGCCTTGGTGTTTATCCCCTTCTGTGTGGCCCTGGATGGTTGTAGTTGTACGAAAAATACACAAAGCGTATTACTCTACGTCCGAAAACTGTAGTACACGCCTCACCACGAAAAATGGGGGACTGTCGCCATAATATATAGGACGAAAACACACACAGCACATGTTGCCTTCGATGAGACCTGTGTCCTCGTCTTTTAAACGTGCAGATCTGGCATGAAATAAGGTGTTGCCTCCTTCGTGGCTGCCCCCCGCTTCCCTTTTTGCCCGCGAGCACACGCAACGTGGGGCAAAAACCCGCAAGGACCTCCCCGCGAGCTCTTAGGATCTATTCTGTGCTTGCCCACGATGTTTCTCCGGTGAATCAGGTCACGATTATTCCTAATGTCAATTGAATTCGTAGATTGGCAACCTATGACACCTACGTTCTTGACGACAACCGCACTTTTCAGACCGGTGTGTCTCCGGAGGGCCGTGCCCGTGTGCCGTACAACCTACAGAATACCCCATGCCGTGTTAAAGCCGAAGCCTCGGCATGGAAAGCATGACAGTCCCCGCCGATGATACGGCCGAGGTTGACGGCGAGGTGTGCTCATCGCAATGCCTGTTAATTTTTTCTGAGTGTCTGTTGCTTGGAACACGCTGGCTTGTTTCCCCCCCTTTCCTGCTGCTGCGTGTCTCTAAGGCGGACACTTACCTCATGGACGACCCGCTGTCGGCGGTGGACCCGGCCGTCGGGCGGAAGCTCTTCTCCCAGGTCGTGTCCGGCAGACTCAAGGGGAGCACGAGGGTCCTCGTGACGCATCAGGTGAGCACAGAGAACGAATCCGTCCCACCGTTATTGTAACCGCATTGAGTTCCAGGTAGCATAACTGACGACGATCCAATCGAAACGCAAGGGGGGAATGTTTGAAGCTCTTTCGTGAGGGATTGAGGGACACTTGCGTGGTTGATACAGCAAGACACGGCGGCCGTTTGCGCCTTTACTACATGCCTTGCAGAACGTTATTCCCGATAAGACCTATCCCAAAACACCACCGGTGTATGCGAGGGCAGCGCACTTAGTAAGCCTACGCGCAATGGATTGGGCGAGGGTAAGATGGGGTCATATGACGACATGGAGGCAACCACGTAGACAGCCAATTCCGCCAAGCGCAGCGCTTCCCAGTTGGAAACATCAACAAGTGATGTTCGAGCTCTTGTTTTCGTTTCTATTTTTTTTTTCGCCAAGATCTCCACACTTCTTTTCCCGCTTGACGAAATCTCATTCTTGTGCGTCGTCGTCATCGTCGTCGTGGTCGTTGCCATCAGGTGCACTACTTGAGGGACCCCGAGGTGGACCAGATCATCGTCATGCACGACGGCAAGATCGTCGGAAAAGGGAGGTACGCCACGCGGCACCATTCGCATACACACACAGGCATCGACGGCTTAGGCTACGTCGGCTTTCAGTGACAGCGGCGGATCGATCGAGCTCGACCGGCTTGATTTTTGTTTCGGGATGCGTTTGTCGTTCCGTGTTGCGGCGTTTCTTTCCGTGCTTCCAGGATGCATCACGTGGAAATCTTGCGTGAATTCTTGGTCAAACCACTCGCGTCTTGGACGCTGCTCTACAGTTGCGTCCCCAGGGTGATGACGGTCACCTCTATGCCTCATTGCCTACCTTGCGGCGGGTTTGCTATAATCAACTCTCCTCAAAATGCTATCTGGTGATGGAGTTCGGCTTCTTGAGTGATCAGCACCAGGTGCGGTAATCTGTGTGGGGTGTGGTATTCTCTGTGGCTCTATTTCTTGATCTTAAACCAGTCACTCGGTTTGGGATTATGGTGACCCGTAGTAATATTGCCGCCGGATTTGTATGGTGTGTAGGCATTTCTCATGTGTGCTATATACTTGTGTCATGTATGGCACGTTCACACAAATGGCGTGTGTGTGATCGCTCAGCTCGACCCAGTTTTCCCGGTGAAATGAAGTGGAAAAATGTCTGCTGCAGCCGAAGAACACAGCACCAAAACTACGCCATTTTCTCTATGCTGACCGTTCTTTCTGCTACTCTTGGTCCCTCAACTGTTCTCGCAGTTCTCTGCTTGTCACTACTCTGACATGTTCTGCACATACTATTGTTGTGCCCACCCTCAGCTACGAAGAGCTCGAAGCCAGCGAGAGCTTCGCCGCACTCGAGCGTTCCGCCTCCCCAACGAAAGCCACCTTGGGCGAGGCCAATGTCGACCACGGTAGTAGTGCCGTGAACCACTCCTCCGCAGGAGGAGTTTCCCGGTCCACCCGCGCCCGAAGCATTAGCAGCACCGGCAGCGCCTACCGCAAGACGCCGCCACAGGCGACGGTGGCGGCGCAATCTTCCTCCACCTCGTCGCGCTCTGTCTCCAGCGCTGCTCCTGACGGCAGGGGCGGCGCACCATGTGAGGGGGGCGCCGCGGCGCCTGACGGACCTTCAAAATCTTTTGAAACAGACGCTAGGAAAGTCGCTGGCGGCGATAACGCCTCGGTAGAGCTCCGAAATCATCAGCAGCAAGAGAAGGACGGTCGGGGTGTCGGAAACAACCGCGAAGATAACTTTCGGGGCGATGCGAACGAGGACAGTAACGAGAGGGGGCTGGTGGCGGAGGGTGATAAGGGTGCACCGCCGGAGCTCGTGGTCTCAGAAGACCAAGAGGTGCACCATGCCACGGCAGCAGGGGGGGGGGTGTACTCATAGTAGTGCATGCCGTAGTCGTTTGACCATTGACCTCGCATCCCTACAAAGCCAGGACCGAGCACGCCGGGTTTTCATCGGACCAGGCTCACACATCACCAAGCGCGAAGCGCCGTGAGATATTCGGCGAGTCGTATGCAGGGTGCGCTGCATCCTGCTAAGGGTGTTCGGCATCTTGTGCTTACTTCCTGGCGTACGGATGACAGCTGCGTATGACTTATTTTAATATCTGGTGCTTTCACTTCCAGAGACAGTTGTAAGCACTGTTTAACTGCCTGGAGGGTGCTTGACCATTTTAACACAACGTGGCGCGATCATACCCCTTGCGCGGAGTGAGGATTGTCCACCCCGCACAATATGATCCACTCGACTACCATTCATGGTTACCGCAACAAAAATAACCGGAGGAAAAAAAAAACGGTAACCTGGTTGCCGAGTTCACGAGGTGAATGGGCTTGTTTCACAACGTCGTTGCCAAGCGACGAAATCCCAACCCCGTTGGCAAACACCGGGGGGGGCGGCTTGTTTCCCAACGTCGTTGTCAAGCGACGAAAACCCAACCCCGATGGTAAACACCGGGGGGGGGAGGTTGTCGATCGTATAGGGGGTGGTGGCGATAGCGTTGGCCGACCTCGTACAGTTACTGAGGATATTAACAGCGGCGCGTTACGGTGGTGGAGAAACCGAAAATTCTCTGGATCCGCCTGAGCATGTCGATCACCTGAAATATCGGCAAGTCGACAAGCGGTGGTCTCCGATCGGAAAGAGCATGACGATGCCGGTGACGTGCTTACACCATTCCGGTAGATGAAAGATTGGTGCGTCTTTCGCCGTTTCTCCCGAACGGACCCCTACTCTACCCTACTTTTCCATGCCCCCCTGTGCCCTGACTCACCGCTCATTTGGACTGAAATCGTGGGTGCTCGCTGCCCCGTTTTGCGTCCCGTGCAGTCTGGGAGGCTGAAGCGCAGCACCTACTGGGAGTACATTAGGGAGGCTGCCGGCATCTGGCAGGTCGTGCTGATCTTCTTGTCCATGGCGGGAGGACAGGTATCCGAGCCACGCCCTGCGAAACACCGGTGCTGGAGGCGGGTGGGGGCATATTACTGTATGATACGGAGTAGTAGGTCACGTAAGGGGGCATTGCCAGACTAGGGTTACCCCGCGTGTTGAGGCACAAAATGGGGTCTGTTTTTCGGTGTGGGGCGCATCGCCCTGACGCCGAGTGGGCGCCTTTCCGCCGCCTTCTAGCCCTGAAGCTGTATGCGCCAGGTCCTTAGGAAGGACGCCCAATTTTGTGTTGAACACAGAAACAAGGTTGACCTGGAGGAGAGGAGCTTGTTAGAGAACCACGTTTTGTTCGCGAAACCGCGATGACGCCCCCCTGTCGCTAAACGTTTATCTATGAGTAGTACCCCGTTTTGTTCGCAAACATACCCCATAATGTTCAAGGTTTATCCCTTTCGGTTCAGTGGTGACGCTCCGGCAGGCGGCCAATATGGCAAACAACCGCAGATCATCGTATCTCTATATCTTCTGTCTCCCTCTCGCGCCGTAGGCAGCGAAATCTGCGTGTTACACCGCGGACCACCATATCACAGGAACGTCTGTCGTCACAGCTATAGTGGTCTGCGGTACAAGACGCAGGTTTCGCGGTCAGCGGCGCGACAAGGCGACAGAGGATATGGAGATATGGTGGTCAGCGGTGTAGCACGCGAGATTCGTGGTCTGCGGCGCGAAAAGGAAACAAAATATTTAGAAATATGGTGATCTGCGGTTGGTTACCACTTTGACAGTCCGCAGGAGCGTCACCACTGAACCAAAAGGGGTCCACTTGAACCTTGAACATTAAAGGGTGTGTTTGTGAAAAAATGGGGTACTAGATAAACGTTCAGCAGACAGGGGGGATGCTCCGCGGTTTTGCGACCACAATGGGGTCCTCCAATAAGATCCTCTCTTTCAGGTCCAAGTTAACCTTTTTTCTGTGGATGAAACAAATCGGGCGTCCTTCCTACGGGCCTGGCGCATGCGGCTGAAGCGCTAGAAGGTGGTGTAAAGGGGGCGCCCCCCGGCGTCAGGCGTTACGGCGTTACACCCCATATCACGAAAAGGTACACGCTACTTTTTGGATTCCCCGCAAAAGAGACCAAACAGAGTGGCATTGTCCGAAAAAGCGGTGTTCGAACCGTCTCGTGCAGTACCGCCCGATATCGTATCCTTCCAGTTTTGGGTTCTCTTCGCTGAGGAGTAACGGAGCTTCAACAATCGTCACACGGTGTGGGATATCTTATGCGAAATACGGTAAGCATATGGATTTTGGAATCCTTGACGACGATATCGTCCGCCGTGTTTTGCGAAGGGCATCCCGCCGTCAGCCCTAACCCTAACCCTAACCCTAGTCGACAAGATGATCAATGCCATCCATTTTTTTGCGCGCTTTGCCCATTTCACGGAACTCCGCCACACGACGCTCCAGGTGCTGGTGATGGGGGTGACGGTGTCGCTGGCCAGGTGGTCGCGCCAGAGCGAGAAGGAGCAGGACCGGAGCCGGAACGTCATCGTTCTCGCGCTGCTTTCCGCGGCAGCCGTCGTGGTCGCCCTATCAAGGGCCGTCCTCGCCTTCTTCAGCCTTGTCAAGGTGTGAAAAAAGTGGGCGAGCGTGGAGTGTTTGTTGCTGCTCGTGCACATGGTCTCAATCACCCCCTCTTTCAACTGCCGCCGCCAGGGTTCCCCGTCTTGTGCGTCGAACGCCGCGGGGTACATTCGGAGCTCGTGTTTGCTCGCAACTGGTGTAAATTGCTCTCTTTTTCCGAATCCATGTTCCGCCTTCTCTAGCGACGTGGACCAAGGTCAAGGTCCTACACATTCATTCTACTATTATGATGTCCTGCGCCACCATTGTTGCGGTAGGTTGTGATAGCTTACACTTGCCGCTGGAAAGCACACAGCGCGGTGAGTTTTGCGGGAATCATGAATTGTTTAATCCCAATGCCGCATATGAACAGATTGCGCGCCCGGAGACGCGATGCCGGAAGCTTACAGAGCCGCAGCGCCAGCTCTTCTGGTGTGTGTCTTCGTCCTTGGTCCCATCGATTCTGGATGCCAGTCTTAACCTTGCGGTGTGTGTCTGACGCACTCGCCGGGGTTATACAGGAGGACAGAAAGCACCGGACAATATTTACGTATCTTCGTTTTTCCCGAACAGCAACTCGTGGAAACCATAAAATGCTGTGTTCTTGTTCTTGCGATACGATTTGTCATTTTTGCTGCGTGTTTTCCGCATATTTGGTTGCGGCTTCTCTGTTTGGTTCTTCCCTTAGGCTTCGCACCGACTGCACAATAGAATGCTCGAGCGGGTCGTCCGCGCGCCGGTCCTGTTCTTCGACTCCAACCCCGTCGGCAGGTAATGTTGATATTGATCCTGTGTCTGGCCTCCTTATATCGACTCATCGGCTGTCCACCAAGGATTTCAAAACGTTTGAGGAGCACCATAGTCCGTGGCTGACGGGGTACTGCTTACCGCACACAGATGCCGCTACGTGGATACTTTACATTCGTGGATGGGCGCTAGATACATCGCGTTCTATCAAACGTTCAATGTCATCATTGGCGACCTCAGAAATACTCGATGAATGACGTGCAGAATTCCCCGTTCTCAAGCGCCTTGGCTCACTTGATATCTGGAAACCATGCCTCCCTCTCCCATTTTGAATGCACGGTGCGTCGTCGTGCTGTAGGATCCTGAATCGCTTCACGAAGGACATGCACTTCATGGACGATCTCCTCCCGATGACCCTGTACGACTGCGTCACGTGCAGCTTCATGGTGACGGGCAACACTCTCATCATCCTCTTCGTCAACCCCTGGGTAGTTCTCAGGTTTGTTTATCCTTCGCGAGGCGTTCATGCTGGACAATTCCGATTTCGTCAACTTCTGGTTTTCAGGCTTGTCGTTCGACAGGAGAATGATCTCATAAAACTGTCGGCGATGTTGTTCGGTCTTATCGCCCAGCGAAGATCACGGATGTTGCTGGGTGCACACAAGGATACGTCATTCTTTGTCGCAATGCGGACGACCGTGTTGTATTGCGGCTTCAGTGCCTTACCTTCTTTGACCGGTGGTTGTCGTCATTTCCTCCCAACCGCTCTGATACCTAGCCGTGTCTGCAATTCACTACCTCCAAAGCATCCCGACTACTGTTGCCCGTAGGTATGAAGAACTCGATTTCACTTTCCCTGTGAACAGAAAAGTATTCACATCTGCGAACATGGTTTGTGTTGATCATTATTGCGCGAGTGAGGCCCAGCGGGTGCCTCGTAGCACGACAACTCGCTTGGAATTGTTCCGAGTCGGGAGAACAACTAGGGTTCGTCGGTTGCGCCGAAAGTCTTCAAGGTGGGGGAAATTGCTCAACATTTAGCTCACAGAGCTGATAACAGGAAACTAGGCCCGTGTTGTATTGGTCAACATTTTGCGCATGGGTTCGCTTCGAGCACACCTACAACTCTAGCGCCGTGCAAATGCTTTCCTTAAACCGAAGCACGTCGTGACCTCACATTGTGTTGCTGTTTGGGGGGAACATTTCCTTGCTTTCCGCAAGTTGACAATAGAGTTACGTAGAGGTCACCACCTTTCACACGATTCAATTGGAAACCTACAGCCACTGTGATTGGGGGGGTCATTGCCCGTTGTCCTTTGCTATGAAACGTTGTGGCCGGCGGGCGGAATTTGTTTGAAGTGCAATGTGACGAAAGCAATCCCGACCGGTTGCCGCCAGTCGTGCGTCTGTTTTGCTTTTGATCGGTTTGAATAAATTGGGCTCGAATCCGCAGAAAAATCGGGTTGGCCTTTCGTCTAATTTTGAGTGAAAAGTCGGTCATTCCAGGAAGCTGGTGATTGTCAGTGGCCGAACTGGAAACAGCAGATTCTCGTGTGTTTTTTTTATCGATGATTGGCAGCAAGCTCACTAAAATTCTGTGCGGGTGGGTTAAATCGCCTTGGGCTCAGTGTGCTGATGCATCACTTGATTTTGCTGCTTTGTTTTGTTGCATTTTCTATTTCTTGAGTCCAAGAAATCGACCCTTATTTGCCGCATAATTTCTTCCGTCGGTGAGTTTGAGAGGTTATTCACACATGACAACCAAGGCCGTGGTGATGGTCGGCAAGGAGCATGATTTCCTTGCTGCTGCTCTCGTACCGGCTACCGCGAACGACCATCGTCGCCTCTGCCATGACTATGGACCCCCGCCTTGGCGGTGATCACTCTCGTCCACCACATGAAACAACACTTTTTTGGTTTCCAACCCGTTCCCATCCCTAATTGTGTGCGATCGCAGCTTGCTCCCAGCCCTGTGGTTCTTCATATATCTTATGGGTTTCTACTTGAAGACGAGCAGGGAAGCCAAGGTACGTACGAATACCGTCATCACAAGCCAATGGCGTGCTATACTGCCAGCTGCTGCAGCGCATACCGATTTTCGAGCAACAGGCAGTATCGCTGGCGATTGCATTAGCGCAACCACACCGGCGCTTGCATCGTCCGTCCTCTTGTGGGTCCAAGAAAGTGAAGCTGTCACGTTTGCCAAGTTTGCCAACCATGCCTTTGGCGAGGCTCCTGCACAGCTTTAGGCATGTTAATTGGCGCATCTCTACGGGCGGTACGCAAGCACGATCTGAAGCAGTTTTCGCACTGACTGCTCTGTGGAGCTTCGCCCCTCATCGTTCCTTTCACCGCCGCATTTTTCATTGTTTGTTTATGTTTTCCGTGGTTGCCGTGTGTACGAAAAGCGGTTGGAGGCGGTAACCCGCAGCCCGGTGTATTCTCAGCTGTCCGAGACGCTCGACGGCCTTGTCACCATTCGAGCCTTCGGAAAGCAGCGTGAGCTCCACTTTCTCGCACCTCGCAAGCCAACGTAGTATACATCTCGAAGCTGTCCCGTTTCCGAGGAGGGGGGCATCCTCTTAAGTACCACCGTGGCGGGGTGCATGCCGTGCCACCTCTTGGACGATTGAGTTAATTCATGCGAAAAACATCGAGAGCGATGATGTCATCTGGGTGCTCACTTTGGGCGTTACGAAGTGTGAAATTACAAGATCCGGAACCGATTCATGTTGTGCGCGAAGAAAATTTGTGAGCAACAAAGGTGCACGGGACATTGCAAGAAGTTGCGCCGCGTTCAAGTTGCGCTTGCGTCGCTCCGCCTAACCTCCGTGAGTCATTGGCCTACTCTCCTTTGCGGTGGAATGCGCTTGATCTCGTCTGCGGTGCCCCGTCCTTATCGGTCGATCGTCCTCCCCCTTGATTAGACCTGTTCCTGAGCCAGTTCACGGAACGGGTCAACTTGAACACGAGGGCCTACTTCGCGTGGGTGTACACCGCACGGTGGCTGGGGTTTCGGATGGACATGGTGGTGATCATCGTTCTCGCTGCTAGCTGCTTCTTCTCCGTCGCAGTGAACGAGTACAGCAATTCCATCGGTGAGTGACATGGAGTCAAGGGAAACAGGCGGAGTGTATGAACGTCTCTGGCGTTTCTGTGAGTGCCACTCGTGATGGTTTCTTTAACGATGACGGATCCATTGTTCCGCGTTATCGTTCGCCTTGGCAGTTCGGGTGCAGGTGGACAAGTTTTGTGCATCTTTGGCTGGATAAACGATTGCATGTGTCCGCGTTGTTGTTCCTCCGCATGTGCAAGTCAGCGTTGTGTGTGCATCAGCGACCCAATGCGTTGGTGGGTGTAGTTTCTTCTCAGCTAGGGGTAACCAAGGTCATTGCGGCTACACCAACTACGTTTTGTTTTTCCGGTCGTGATCGATGAGAACACGTACATGCCACACCGGGTTGTCGTGACGGAGGACTCTCGAAACCCCACGAGCTTCTCCAGCTAGAAAACATTGGTTATCTAACGGAGTATCATTACTGCGATCTCGGTCTCAACCCTCAGGTGGTTTTCCACCATATACTGTCCCAGACAAAACTCAAATTTTCACTCCTCGTTGGCTGTCATACGGCACGTCGGGCTGCGGCCTGTGGATTCTGCGGCGACCTTGACTTTGATCCCCGCAGATGATTCTCATTTTGTTGTACATGGTTTTGGATTTATTCGCAAATTTTTCACTCCACGCCTGTCGTGCATTCGGATACCGGATTTTGGTTTGTGCGGCGACCTCGACTTGGAGCCCCAGGCGGTCTCGTCCGCAATCATGTATCGTTAATCCCGGACAGGCTTCACATGGTTTCAATCCAGGTGGCAGGTTCTTGGATGACGTCATGGCTCATCGAAGGATACATCGGCAAAATCCATACCTCACTGCAGAACCGTCACGGACAAACAATGCGTAAAACATGCCGAGGATATGGCACATATGAACGGAGCAGAACCACCTTCGGGTCCAGACCGAGGTTATGACACAAACCGCAAGCGATCATGGCATTCAAAAATGGATATGGAGTGAAAACGTGTGGGAAAGGAACATTCTCTTTTCATGTGTTGAGTAATAATCTCAGTATGGAGCCTCGGGTGATTCTCCTGCTGTATACATCGTTGTCCTTGAACTTCAAAGAATCAGCGCAAATACGATGGCTGCCTGCGCGGCGGCCTTGGTCTAGAACCCGAAGATCTAGGTGTGAGCTCCCAGGTTGGCTTCCGTTCCATTGTGCTGCCGACGAATTTAAAGGTTGACACGACTTACACTCTACATCATGTGGAATGAGGCGCCGTCGACTCCCAGATCGTACGTTGGTACCGTCCATCCCGGACAGTTCGAGCAGTCAACTCGGATATCCGATGAGATTCCGGCATTCATTTGAGATTTCGGGAAGTCGATATCTAATTGAAGAACTGTCGTGGGATAAAAACGTCTGACACTGTGCCCGGAATACAGGATACACGTGAACGGAGGAAGGCGTACATGGGGACCCACGCCGAGGCTACTGCTCAACCCGCACATTGAAATTTCTTTCCACAGTGAATTGTTGCGAGAAAAGAATAATTTTTGTCTGAGATTATCTCTGTAAACCAACGTAGAACCGTCCGGGGTCCAGACTGAGGCGTTGCCACACAACAGGAAAGCCGGTACAACGATGCACAACCGGTGTTGGCGCCGCGTATTGTGAAGGCGGTCAGAGTTACGACATACATACGGGGGGGACGAGAACCACTCTTCAATACATCTGACTTTGGCAGTGGGACGTTGGCGAGTGGGTTGTGCGACGACCTCGGTTTGCTCCCCCACGCTGTTCTCCGGTTCGTTGGACAATCCCCGATAACGTTGACGTTTGTTTCACTCCGCGTGGTTGTGGAAAAGCGTTTCCCGGTGCAATTTTCTCCCGCGGTATTTTTTGCCATCAGCTGGTTGTTGTGATTTTTCGCACCTTCGGTTACTGGCAGATGCGGGGCTGCTGGGAGCAGCGTTGGTGTACGTTCTTCAACTGGGCGGGCTGTTTCAGTGGGCTGTCAGGCAAGCAGCGGAGGTGCGGTTGTCGGGCGCTTCGTCGTCTAACGACGAAGCGACAATCATATTGCTGTAGGTCTGGATGCATATCTCTTTCACCCTCTTTGGGATATATGGGATGACCCTGGGAAATAAGACGGCCAGCTGGCCCTGCTACGAATCCCTACCTCACCGACCGAAATTGAATCGCGCACTGCATCCGGGTTGCGGCCAAGGTGTCAGTCGAGGTTGCGAGGCCAACGATCCGAAGAGATCTTCGATCCGCGTGGTACTGTGTTTTGAGGTGACACCAGGAGTGAAAAAGGCACAGCCTCATGCTACGTCGACGCGGGCCATGAAACTGAAGCGTGTTGCGCAACCCCCTGTACGATGTTGGCAAAACCAATACACCACGAGTCATCGCCTCGTGTTCACTTTGCTTTGTGTTTTCCTGTCGCTCCGCAATGCAGCCAATCTCCCGGCGTTCCAGCCTCGATCCTAACGCAAGATATTCTCGCTGCTTTCGCGTCGGTATGGACAGGTGGAGAATCAAATGGTGTCGGCAGAGCGCGTGCTGAGCTACTGCAGAGTGCCGCAAGAGGCAAGTTTGGAGTCCGATCCGGGATACAAACCGGCGGATGGATGGCCGTCTAAGGGCAACATCGAGGTGAGCCGTTCAAGTGTGTTGGACATGCGGCGTAGATTGACCGTGCCCTGCGTGTTCGTTGTCGTCTCTCGCACAATCTGACAACGTTTTGCGTTTTCCTGTCATTTCTGCTTTGTCGCTCCTGACATCTTCTCCTGCTCTGAAAGATGCCTCACTGCGCAGAGAAGCCAAACCACCGGCCATACCACAATTTTTGAACTTCACCTCCTTGCTAGACAATTTTGCTAAGATCAATACCTTGTCCGAAAACGCAGACAATGCAATGGCGTTCCAGATACAGATATTGGCCGTTTGTAGCAATGCATCGCATTTGATCGCGTGTACTTCACTAGAATGTCGTGGTACGAACACCAGCATGGTTCGTTGAGGTAGTATGATCTGGTAATCGACAATACTTTACGAACGGGGCTGCCCGACTACTGTTGTGCTGCGCCATCCATTGAACTACTCCGTTTCGTTCCACTACCTCCCCAGGTTCGTGACATGTCTATGCGATATCGCGAGGATCTTCCCCCGGTGCTGAAGGGTCTAACCTTGTCCATCAAGGGAGGGTCGAGGGTAGGAGTTGTCGGCAGGACGGGTGCGGGAAAATCTAGCCTCATCGCTGCGCTGTTCCGGCTCGTGGAGTTCGACAGGGACAGGTGCTCCAAAGAAACATTGCCGATTCCAGCATGATGGGAGTATACCACCGTGCATGCGAGAGCTTTTCGAGGTACACACAGACGTGGCGCTGCACTTGTTTCTGATCCAGTTCGCCACGCAGTCTGAGCATGGTCGGTGTGCTGTACAAGAGGATGAGGCTGAGTGCGGCGGCATTCGCTATAATCGCAATCGGAAGTCTGTGCCTAATGTCTTCGCGTCTTGATTCCACTCGACCGACGATTGGCGGCAGGGGAGGAATTGAAATCGATGGTGTGGATATCTCTAGGGTGGGCTTGCACGACCTGAGGCCCAAGATGTCCGTTGTCCCTCAGACGCCGTTTCTTTTTTCCGGCTCAATGCGGCTAAACCTCGACCCCTTCGCAAAGTGAGTTTAGCACGGCCGATGTGTCAAACATCTCGAATCTCTTTGCACCTTGTTCCGTGTCCTTCCTCTCTCTCGAGGGAAGGCCTAAAGCGCCTCTCTCGATTTGGTCGTATATCGCCTTTGCGTATTTCGCGTATTTCGCGGTTGCACCGCCCCTATGCATCTCTACTTTTTCCCACAGATATTGTTTGGTGATATATGGCACGAGGCGGCTCAACACACCGGCGCGTAGCCTGTGATTTTTACCGTCCGGGCATGCAACCCTTCCTTCGTGTGGGTTCTTAGGCAGTCAGACGCACACATGTGGGCCTCGCTGGAAGCAGTGCAGATGAAGACCTACGTGCAATCGCTGCCGGGCGGGCTAGATGCTCCCGTTGCGGAGGGCGGCGGCAATCTGTCCGTGAGTTATTTTATGAGTTACGTTGCGAGATGTTGACCGGCACCATTGGTTAAACAACACCGAAGTTGTTTGAGGCGAGATTTGGAGTCTAACCACATTCGTTCTAGTGTTACAGTCCATTCACTCCCCGGACTTGCAATTTGAAACACGGTTGTGGGAGCTGTCACGCCGGTTTCTGCTTGTACGCGGTGTTTCGAAAGTACCGGACAAAAGGAAAGACGACGAAACAACCTCCTCTGGTCGATGTATCTTTCTAGGTGACAACAACTTGGGAAACGCCTGGGTAAACTCGGCTTGAACAATGTCAGGCTCGCGCTATACCTTTAGCGCTTGAATGCGCTTGAGTAAAGTCGCAAGTCAAGGGTTACGACAACGCTAAGTGAATGGGTCTACAATCACCCAAGCCAATGCCGTAGTGATCCCTGAAAATAGGCGTGTGTTGTGTAGCCATGTTCTTTGAGGGAGGGGCTCGCGTACAAGGCCTGGGCATGCGCGCTGAAAACGTTATTTCCATCCCTCCATCGCTCTCGCTTTTTGTCGGTCCAAGCGCTAGCTCCTGTCAAACCTGTTCAGTCGTGCAGCCCCCCTCGGTGCTGTACATTGCACTCCATTGTCTTCGTCTCGCCTTCTCTGCACCCTGTCTTTTTCCCCCACTCACGCAGAACACGCAGAATAGTTTCTGTCTTGCGTCTAACGCAGTACTTGGCGACGTTCCTTGTCGATATATGCTCCTGTGGTCTCCGTTGTGTGTGGCGCAATTGTTGTCGTCTCCCTTTCGGGTTTGGCAGGTAGGGCAGCGGCAACTTCTCTGCCTCGCCAGGGCGGTACTCCAGAGGACTCAAATTCTTGTGATGGATGAGGCCACCGCTAACATCGACCAACACACTGACTCCCTCATCCAAGACGTCGTGCGGACGTCGTTCAAGGGCAAGACGGTCATTATGGTGGCTCACCGCCTCAACACCATCATAGATTGCGATCAGGTGAACTATCTACAGTACCTTTATGACGAAGGCTTCGACCAACGTAGTGATGGTATGACACCAGTACGTGAAAGCCCGACGAGACGATCGCAAGTGGGATTGCGCCTGAGATCTTCATCCGTTACTTACTTCTCGATACGAATAATCCTGTTGTTGCTCCTCGCTATGAACGATGCGCGCGAACTTCCGATAGGTCGTCGTGTTGTCGGAGGGCAGCGTCGTGGAAGCAGGGCACCCTCACGTGCTTCTCCAAACCCCCCCAGCGTCCTCTGGTACTGCTGCTGCTGCCCGTGGAACCACAGCCTGGGCTGCTGCCGATGCAACGCTGTCTTCGATGGTTGACGAGACTGGCATTTCCAGTGCCAAGCATCTGCGGCGCTTGGCGCAGGAAGCGTGGAACGCTTCGAAATGGAAAGGGGGGCGGGGTGTAGCCGTTCTTTGAGAGATGATGGTGACGTCACTTTGAGGAGTACTGGCTGTAACGGAACGGAACATGTAACCGTTAGCGCTACCAACGCCATGTGGGGGACATGGCGCACGCATGCGTTGGATTCTTGCAACTATGCTGAATCTTCAAAGAGACCGACACGCAACCGCCCGGCGATGTCCACCGTGCCTTTGGGGTGCTTGCGTGCGCCAGTGGGTGCTCGTATTTGGAAGTCTTGTCAGTGTTGAAGTGGGGACATAACTATGGCGGAGGCAGCAATCGTTGTGGATGACATGGTACTGATATGATCCGCTCTTCTTTCACTACAAGATGCCCATGACAAACCTCAAACCAAAGCCCGCGAGCCTAGGCTATATGCTGGCTTGCTCTTAGACCCCCACGTCGGATTTTGCCGATAGGTGGAGATTGTCTGCCAACGTTAATGAGTCTGCCGCATGGTGTGCAACGACGATGGTGAGAACCCAGTAGAAATTTTCATGTGAAAGTTGGGGGCCGAGGAGGGCTTTCAGTACAATGGACTAGTACACGTATCTGGAAGTAAAGAACGAGATGCAGTTGGTAGACATACGACAACGCATCTGGATCGTGTTCAGTTCGTCAAGCTGAGAACGATGGTTCAAGAACATGGAGGATCTCCGAATTTTGTTGTAGGAGATATAATGAGGAGGAACTATTGAGTGATATGGCGGTTGTTTCGGATGTACGCCGACAACATCAGAGAGGGTCGGTGGCACGGTGACTCGAGACATCAGTGATAAAGACAACCAAGAACGACAACAACGACCAAGACAGCCAACGCTGAGGTGACCTGAAAGAACAAAGCTGCCGGAAACGCGCGCCAACAACCCACAGGCACAGAAGGTGCCTGGTGCGGCGCAGCTAGAGGACGCGCAGCTGGAGTTGTGCAGGTGCAGGATGTGCCTGCTGCGGTGCTGCGTGATGAGCGCGCCGCTGGTGGTGTGCCGGTGCAGGCAGCGCTTGTGGCAACGACTCACCTTCAGGCGGAGGAGGCGTCTGACGGAACAGTATGTCGCGTACACCAACGTGTTTCACGTGGAACAGGTGGATGGATCCCTCCGCTGTTGGAGACACGACTGTATACATCGATTTTGCCGCTTCTAGCCACATGATATGCACCGAGTCCCGCCTGTCCAAACATGTTCGTGGTCCGGTGGACTGCGCCGTGCGTATCATCGGGTCGTGTCGTACCTCAAATGCAATTAAGAAAGGCACGACAAAATTTGGAACTCGGAATGACAAGAACACGGTGATACCGGTAGCGGCGAAAGTTCTGCTGGTTCGCAACCTAGGGGCTAACAACTTGTAGGTTGGAGGTTTGGCCGAGAAGAGGGTGATGTGTGATCTATTGTGGACCCCGCCAGCGCTTCGCCATGGCAACCATGTTTTCCCCATCTCGACGGCGGTGCGGCCGATGTACGTCGCGAACGTCATCATCGACGACGTCAATCTTGACGCCGCCGAGGTGTACCGCACCAAGGTCGACGCTTGATATGTGGCATCGTAGAATGTGTCACTGCCACCCACGTGCTCTGCAGCAGCTGGCGGACAGCGCGACAACCGGAGTGAAGTTCAACCGGAACATTGAATCAGGTGACTGCGGGGTTTGCGCGGTTGGCGACAGCAAGAAAGGTAGCCACCCCCCGTCGAATCGCACTCGAGCCACGACTCGGCTTGAGATTCTGAGCGCCGATGTGTGGGGGCCGCACCCTGTCAAGTCGTCCGGCGGTTGCCAGAGTGCTGTTATGTTTACTGATGACCTCTCTCGCATGAGTTTTAGCTTCTCCTGAAGACGAAAGATGGGGTGGCGGAGTCGCTCCAAGAGCTTATCCAGAACGAAGCGAATCCTTTGGGGACCTGCATCGGCAAGGTGCACTGCGATGGCGGAGCAGAGTTCAAGGGCACGTTCCAAGCGTTGTGTGAGTCCATGGGGATCAAGGTCGATAATAGCCCTCCACAAGGGAACACCATCGTCGAACGTGGATGTGGCATCATCATCGGAACGACGCGCAAGCTACTCCTGGAAGCACCGCACCTTCCAGGCCATGTGTGGGGCGAAGCATTCCATACGGCTGTCTACCTCAAGAATCGCACACCTACGGAGGTTCTGAGCGGAAAGGCCCCACTTGAGGTATGGGAGGGGAAACCGCTCGGTGACATGTCGCACATCCACGAATGGGGCTCGGTAGCCTATAAGCATGAGGAAGCGCGATTCCGGAACACCAAGCTGTCAGCTAGGGCCAAGAAGATGTATCATGTGGGGTACAACACTAAAAATNCGGTAGCCTATAAGCATGAGGAAGCGCGATTCCGGAACACCAAGCTGTCAGCTAGGGCCAAGAAGATGTATCATGTGTGGTTTTGTTTGTTTGTCTTCACATTAAACCGTATGTCAGTTGCTAAATGCCAAAATCTAGCAAAAGACTCTCAGCCCGTGGTCACGAAAGTGCTAGAGCCATCTGA